TCACTGACACGATGAAGTTATTAGTGCTAATAGCTGCTGCACTGTTGAGTTTGGCCGCCGCCCCCGTCGCGGATGCTTCGCTGCACCTGCGTGTTCACATTCTGACCGAAAAAGCGGGACTTTACCAGCAGTGCGAGTGGGAGAACAAAGCCGTCAAGTGCGAAGCTGGCATGTTCTGCCAGATGAAGGAGAAACACTTTGGCTGGTGCATGAAAAAGAGCCCGGGACTAAACGACCAGTGCGGCGGCAAGAGTACCGACGGACCGTGGGCTGTGCCCTGCAGTGACAGCAATCTTAAGTGCGTGCTCATCTCGGACCAGTACAGCAAGTGTCAGAAGAAGACCGACCGCGAGAAGGTGAAAATGCCCAACCACCACAAGGGCGCGGGCGTTGAGGAGGAGAAAGTGGCGCTCAACGAGCGCTGCAAATTCGAGAACGGCACCAAGGGCTGTGCTTCTGGACTACAGTGTGTTGAGGACAGCGACTGGACTGGCATGTGCATGAAGAAGGAGGCAAATGTCTACGACCAGTGTGCTGGCCAGGAAATACGTGGCCTTTGGAAGGCGATGTGCCCTAAGGGTGCACTCTGAGTGACAACCCTTGACTCGCAGCGGGGTTCTCAGCAAGGGTTAAGCTGAAAGTCTTGGCTTGCAGAGGACTTAGCTTTGACAAACGAAGAAGCACAATGTATTTTCCTACTTATCTGCTGCGTGGCTGTCCACTACAGCACTTCAATATGGGAAAGGAAACATAGAATTCTGAGTCTCACGTAGTGTGCGTCAACTGGCATTCCATAGCGATCACCGTTACTGTAGGTGACGGTCTTGTTAGTACGTAGCCCTAAGTGTACCCTGGTTACATGAAGTGTGACACTTCACACTTCAGGAGTATGACACGTCATACTCCGGGGTATTCGATACAAGGTACCAAGGTCGTTCAAAGCCAACCATTGGTTAAATGACATTGCATTTCTATAGGTAACTAATAGTTTGTATTATTGTACTCGTCACAAGTCCTTGGACCAAAATGTAGCCATCTGTTATGAAGATTCAACAACCCAAATCCTTAAGCAACAGTTAGATATAAGGGGTAAAATCGGGCGTAGATTTCAAAAATGTGGTTAGAATTAGTCGTCGCTCTTCCTGGAGACCCAAAAGAATTGCCAATGGTTTGTCAAGTTCGTGAGCAGTGCCATCACTGATTCCGTAACGATGATATCCAATGCAATCAATTCCGACAAAGCCTGGAACTCGGACGCTGTTGTCACCACCTTTTTCACTTCGATCAACATCCTCACTCCAGGCAAATGAGGCAAGTAATGTGGAAACTTCTGGGCTATATCACTCAGCACAATCATATCCGTGCGACCAGCAAGAACAATATCGCGACCAGGGACTTCAACGGTGAGGATGTTTGCGCCTTTTTCCACACCAACCACGCAAAGCTTGTTATTCGTCAAGACATCGCCAATGTTGGCTACCACGTACTCACGATAAGGTTCCTTTTGCTGCTCCTCGGTACGGTCACTTTTCCACTTGAATTCCTTTGCTGGAGTTGGAACTCCACCGGCGAATTTAACTGTGTCCACAGGCGAAATCCGAATTTTCAAATCGTTCAAAAGGATGTTTCCCTTGGCTGAGTTCATTTCTGAGTGGACATATCGCGTACGCTTGGACAGCACAGTGTGCTCATACACTTTGTCGACCTTATCGAATAGACGATCCATCCTGGAAGTGTCACTCGCTGAACCACCAGCCCCATCTGGAACCACCACCAGCACGTGGATCGTCCTCTTCGTCGAAGCATCACCAAACAAGTCACCAATCTCGTCTGCTGGATCCATTTCCACGTCCAGCAGTGCCTTTACTTTCTCGGGAATAACACCACTCCGCATAGCAATCACGGCAGGATCCTTCGACTTCAGCCAGGCGCCGTCTTTCTTTGCCAGGAAGAGATGCAGCTTGTCTGCATCAACATCTTTGAAGTCATTCGGCTTCTTCGCCTTAATCACCTCCTTCAAGTCTCCCACCAGCTGGCTCACGTCGATGTCCACAGGGAAAGCACCTCCCGCCACACCAACGATCGCACAGACAAGCTTCACCATCTTTCCTCGAGCCGGCAGATTCTGGAATGAGGAAGAAGGGAGGGAGAATTTCTGGCGTACTTAAGCGGGAAAGAAGGGTGTGACATAGATTTTCAACCAATGATGAGACGCCACGTCGCGCTGGTCCGAACTAATTCTCAAGGTTGCGTCGTCAAAATAGCAGCTGCCTCGAAAGAACGTTCCAGGACTGGTCTCGCAGGTAAATTACGGAAAGTAAAAAAACTGCCAGCGTAATGTTCCATGTCGTACTACTAGCGTTTTCGTGGGAAATGCCTGATGCCGGGTTTCCAGATTCTGAAAAATTCAGGCGATTCTGCGGGGCCCAAAAAACTGAATTCGGAATTACTACAGCGATGGCGCTCTCTCGGAGTGAGTAATCGTTTGGCCTGGTTAAAAGCTTCGTACACTCTGGTTGCTTATACAAGTGTTTGGCCTTCTGTAGCCGCACAACTTTGTCAGTACAGCCATGTGTGTAATTGACGCACATGCTGCCGAGCTGTTCTGTGATACCGTACTGTACGTATTACGAAGTAGTACCGATATTAGTGATTGGATACTTTAAGAAGCATGTTTCCTGTTTATAATTTAAAAGAGAGTATGCAACCGCTATAACTAGTTTGCACTGCTCGCCACAATCGGGGTAGGAAGTTGAAGGTTGCTGCGCAACAGCAGTAGCGACTCAATAGCTAGGCCTTTTCGGTCGTCGTGGGCATCATGCTCTTGCTTGTGATCGGCCAAATAGTGCCACTCCATTCCTGCATGGATAAAAACATCTTAGAATATCGCATCCGCGTTATTGATTCACTAGATGATCTTCATACCGGGATGATCGGGCCCAGATCAACGTCGTCTGTATCCCAGCTGACGATTTTGTGCACTGCGGGAATCATGTGGTCGAACACAAACACAAGCGCCAGGGTGATCTGACCCAGCACGGCGTCGCCGAGCTCCATGGGTGTGTGTGGCTTGTACATCATTCTCTTATGCTTTTCTCTCAAGTTTTGTTGGTCTTGGTCTGGATGACGCACATTGGTAACTGAGTCTCAAAGGCACCCATTTCATTGACCACCATTCGTGATGGAGCATGTGTAGTTATTATAGGCAGCATAGAAAATGATTAGCGTCAACTTCAGCCTGCGAGAAACACACTTTGCCCAATAGCCTCTTTTTGTAGGATCTCAAGAAGATCGGTTCATTTAAGCAACACACTGCGTGCATCATCGCTTTAAGTTAGGTGGACTGGTGGCTGGCGATGCTTCAGAAAAAAAACTATCTTTCAACAAAATAATGGGAATTTCGTTTTTTGCGTT